TATTAGGAAACTTTGCCTCACTCTTTTAAAGAACTTTTTCCATAACACTATCATTTGTTAGTTGTTCCTAATGAGCTCTGGAGTTTTTGTCTTCATTCGATTCATTGAATGAAACTTTTTAAACTTAAATACTGATTTATTTTTGTTGAAATTGACCTTTTCCTTTGATTCAAAGACCCACATCAGGTCAACCCAGGATGCTGAAAGCTGAAATTAGCATGGAGGACGTTTAGTAATGGAGTGATGGTCTATATCACATTCATTTCCAGACATAAGTTGGTCCTACAGGCAGGGGGAGCCACTCCTGCACCCACAACCCAACCAGAGCTCTCAGTCTGCACCTTTTATTGTCTTTTCTGGAGATCCAGCAGATTTATTTTTGAACATATAGGACTTTTAAAGTTGTTTAGTCGACGGCAGCCATTATGGACAGACATTGGGTTCAGAAAAAGCCTTAAAAGTGTTCAGTTTAGGGTGGAGAACACCAAATTTTAGCTGGTGAAATACACAATTTGTCCCATGTGTTGCATTTCAGAGACCTTGGATGCTATTTTGCCTCAAAGTAACTCCTAAACGAACACTTTGATGCTTCAGTGATCGAAATGGAGCAGAGTTGGAGGGGAAATCTCCTATTCGGCCGGTTTTGAAAAGTCTGAATTCCAGCATTGAAAAGCTTCAAATGGCTCCCCCCTTTTGTGTGCACAGCGTGTGTGACGAATGCGGTAAATATTTGCCGACTTTGCCGTCTTTGGGCCTTTTTTTCTTATCGGCTCCGAACGCCCGGTTTCCAGCAGGTGCAGCAGCCTGAGTGATCCGTTCCTGAAACACACACGCGTGCAGAAACACGCACAGCTCCCTCGTGATTCACCTGCTGGAGGAGTGGGAGCCGGTCGGACCGGTTCCTCACAGGACAGGTGGTTCAGTTCCTATCTGCTAGCCTCCCTTAACCTTTTTAAAGCAAAGGCCGCCCTTTGATTTGGTCCTCTCAGTGGGTTCCATCCAATTCAATGAGGCTATTTTTGCTGTGTTGATAGATTTAAATAAAATAAAAAATCACCTTTCTTTGTTGTTTTAAAGAAAAACTATTTCTTGGATTAATCAGAATCAGAATCAGAATCAGAATCAGAATCAGGTTTATTGCCAAGTAGGTTTTTAGACTTACAAGGAATTTGCCTTGGTGTTTAGTGCACAACACTACACTTCTATGAGGAGCAAGAAATAAAATGTAGAAATAAAAATATAGGACAGAAATGATAAAAATCTATAAAATATAGATTTATATAATCTATAAAAATATAGATCTGAATGTACTGAATGTAATGAAAAGTTGTTCCTGTGTTTTGCCTGTCCTCACAATACCTGACATCGGTGTTGCCTTCACTATGTGTGTCTTTGTGTTTGTTTTCTTTAACCTCTGATGTTCGATTCAAACCTGGTAATTCTTTGGAAGAGGTTTTGTTTGCTTTTTGTTGTTGTGTGAGTCGTGCCCAGACGTGCACCGCGCTAACCGATGATAACATTCAAAAATAGCCCACTGAAACCGGGACACTCCCTGAGCTGTGGCCTCAGGGCTCCATGAACTCACAGACTCCCACCTCTGATGCACGAAACCACTCTGATTTAGTTTTTACTCAATAAAAAACACACAAATCAACACTGTAACTATGACAAACGGTTTCATTGCATTTCCAAGCTTTGAAAAAGAGACTCTTTTTGTCTTGTTTTTCCTCATTTTTTTCTTTTAAGTCACAACTGATTCACAAAAGTAATCTTAAACAAATGTGATATATTTAACCCTTTAAAGCCTGATCCAAGAATAAAACAAAACAGAAAATTACTTTTTTTTGTTGGTTTGAAGTCTTAATTTGGCCTTTTAACAAAATATGTAAAAAGAAAAAACAGAAATACATTTTTAATATTAATAATTTATTACTATGTGATAAGTCAAGATTATTTTTTGTGTAGTCTTCTGCCCCCTGTTATCAGGTGTATCTGATTGTGTACAATAGGATTTTGAGCAAAGTTTTTACCATTAAATTATACAAATGGATGGATGGATGGATGGATGGAATGGATGGATTATACAAAAGGAGTCAGACGCAAAACATTTCAGAAACCGTGTGTATCAAATATGATACAATTGGCATTACAGGGTTAATTTAAACTGTTATTGTTAAAACAATGTTACATCTGTTATATCAGCATAAATACGAATTAGTCCACAGACCTTTTGTCCTACTTCCTGCCAAAAAAAGGAAAGAAAAACCTCAGACGGATTGAGCTGATTTGTTGCACATTTATTTTTAGGGAAATACAGAGTCCCAGCACAGAGCCCTGTTGGCCATTTTTTTCTTTTTTTCTGCCATTTATTTCTTTTTATCGGCCTTTCTTTGGCGTCGGGGAGCTGGCCGTTGGGCTTCAGGCAGCCCGGGCTTGCCTCGGCCTGCC